GTCTCTCTCACAGTTTTCTTTTGCCTGATCCAAACATGTATTTATTCATTTCAGTTTACATACTGCCCCATCTCAACCTTGTGACTCAACATACCCAGCCATTCCTCATACATTTTCCCCCTTTTGGCTCTATTATTATGATTTAAATTTATGAGCTGCCCATTCCTTTATCATGCTAGTTGTTCCTCTTTGATCCTATTCCAGTTTGAAGGACCCTTTTTCTCAAATGTGATGCCCAGGACTGGACACAATAGTGAAAGTGCCGTCTGACCAATGCAACATAGAGAGGAACAATGAGAAATACAGTGCATATTTTCACATTTCAGATTCTGATATTACCTTTCCGCATGAGCAGTGCCCCAAAGAACATCTTTCTTGAAGTAGTACATAAATAAAATTTCAATCTAATTATGAATTTGGCCCTTAGTCTTTCTCTAGGCTGAACATGCAAAAATGCCAGAACGATGGAGGAGATTTTTGCATCAAAAGTATTGCCTTACCTGCAGTTGTGCAAAAGAAGATGCACAATTGAACATATAGCATAATCCATACTAAAGTCCTTATCTAGGGCCCAAGAAATGATCATCTGATATGCACATGCATTTGAGACCACGTACTAGTCCACAACAGATTCTTGATGTCTTCCATGAACATTACTGATTAAGCTCAGAGACATTAAATGCATTTATTTGTTTTTGGTGCAGCAAGGAAGTGAAATGTAATGGATGTAGGCACTTGCAGACTCTTAAACCAATTTGCAAGAACAATACATTTCATCAAATAATGCCATGTGAGTATTTATCACATACATAAAGACATTGGGGCAGATGGTACTGTGAAAATTGAAAAACTATTACCATTAAACATTAAGCAGCTGTTTTCATCAAACCACCACAAGGAAATGGATCTATTAGGCACTTAACATTTCAAAATGTAAATGTTTAGGTATTTTATAAATGTGTAATTATACATATATTATAGAAGAATCCAAAAGGGCAAAGGATTGGATTAATGCAGAAGGCCTGATACTCCAACCTAACAGTCAATATTTAGTATTAATATTAAGTCTTACGCCTTTGGGTTATCAGCTAGAAATCCTGATAACTGCATCCAGGGATGGAGAAAAGCACATTGGAAGAGATACTTCAGCACAATGCCTATTGTCAAAGAGCTCTTGTTAGAAATCAATTATCAATCCCTGGTCTCCACAGTTTCTACTCAGCCATGGCAATCCTATGCCTAATCTTTCTTCCCCCCCACCATCTCTATCATACTTCATTTTTAGCATTTGTTTTGTTGACTGATAATTCCCATTTAATCTTTCTGCTTTTGGTTGATTCTTGGGACCCAACTCTCTCTGAATAGCAAAATCATTGGCTGGCATCAATTCTCCTTCTTATATGATAATTAGGCAGTAGGTCCAAGACGTGGAATATAAAACATAGAATAATAGAGTTGGAAGGGACTTTGGAGGTCTTCTAGTCCAGCCCCCTGCTCGAGCAGGAGACCCTATATCATTTCAGACAAATGGTTGTCCAATCTCTTTTTGAAAGCCTTCAGTGATGGAGCACCCACAATTTCTGAAGGCAAGTTATTCCATTGGTTAATTGCTCTGTTAGGAAATTTCTTCTTAGTTTTAGGTTGCTTCTCTTCTTGATTAGTTTCCAGCCATTGTTTCTTGTCTTGCCTATTGGTGCTTTGGAAAATAGTTTGACGTGCTCATCTTTGTAGGAGCCCCTCAAATACTTGAACAGTGCTATCATGCCCTCCCTAGTCCTTCTTTTCATTAGACTAGACATACCCAATTCCTGTATGTAATCCTTGTCTACATTCCTCACCATCTCCAAAAAAAGTGAGATAAGGTATAATCTACAGTATATCAGTGTTTCTCATTATTGGCAGTTTGAAGATGTGTGGAGTTAAACCCCCAGAATTCCCCAGTCAGCTATGCTGACTGGGGAATGCTGGGAGTGGAAGTCCATGTATCTTCAAGTTTCCAAGGTTGAGAAACACTGATCTATATAATGAGATGTAATGCATCTGGCAGGAGATAACGACAAATCAGATCAGTACTGTTGCCAAGAAAACCCCATAGGTGTGTCCATTAGAAGATGAGTTCAGTTCAAAGGAACTTTTACCTTTAAAATGTTGAGGGATTAGAACCCCATTCTTCAACTAATTCTCCTAAGTAGGTGGATCCCTAGGATCTCATGTTTTTCAACGGCTTGTTTATTTTTTTCATAACTGACTAATGGCAATTATTCATAATGAGTGAGACAGCATAGAAGTTTAATATTATTGCTATTACTACTACCACCACCACTAATAATAATAATATTTTCTTTCACGATATTTTGTGATATTTTGTTCAAGAACATTCCAAGGGACACACTTCTTGGTTATATTGGTGATTTAGATTATTGTTTCTTGGCTGCCTGTACTTTTTGTGTTTATAATGTTTGTTATTGTTTTTATTTTATTGGAAATCTCTTTCCTGCCCAGAGTCACTTCTTGTGATGGATAAATAAATAAATAAATAAATAAATAAACATTCTTTTACTTCCCCTTGGTAAAAATTCTAGTCTAATAAGGGTTTTACTTATTTTATGTCAAATTGCATCTCTACCAACAAGCCAGAAACCTTGACCTGTTTAGCTCCAGGAGAAATTTGTAGCTGAAAAAAATCTCAGCCACCTGGCATTTCCTTCCCCCAAATATGAGTAAGTTTGCATTTATAATGTATAATTTTCTCAGAACTTTGTAGGGAGGAGCAGAAGAGGAGGGAAAACAGATTTTTTTTTGAAGTGGATTTTAAATGAGTTACTTTCTGGAGAAATCTATATAAATTAATTTTAATTGGGGTACCATGATGTTAATTGAGAGTTTCTCTTTTAAAAAAAAATTATGTGACAGTCAGAGTGCTCATTAAATAATGATCTGCACTATAATTTGCTGCCATTTTCTTTTCAGAACTTGCCCTTTCCTCAGTGAAGCTTTCTGTAATAAACACAAATGACAGCAAATGGCTACCTGAAAGAACACAGTTAGCTATAAGTCTGTGGCACTGTATCTCTCCACAGGAGTTAATGAGATTTTTTTCTGAGGAGACAATCATG